CTTCCCTCTCCCTTTAACCCCCCGATTGGTGTCAGTATCCGCCAGCCCGGGGTCTCCTCTCGGCCCCGGCCAGCGCACGCGTAGGGAACTCCGCTGCCATGTGCTCCCCTTTAACAGAGTCACACAAAACCGACCGACGACAAGAAATATCACTGCAAACACTTCCCCCATCGTTGTCAAGCTACAGGATTTACAAGCAGCTGATTTTTTTATGTGAAACTTCACTTTCAAAACATAAAAAAAGGGCAGAAATCATTACCAACCAGTGGAGCAGTAATGTCAGGTGCTCCACGGTTCGAACCTAAAGAGGACGCCAAGCATTTCACCACCAACAGCTAGCTCCGAATCTCTGCTCTGAAATGCTCCGTAGATTTTGCCACATAATACCAAATGGTGATTACTTTGTGGTTACATGAAACTGGTGAAATGGTAAGATGGATGTCTCAATCTCACTATGGTTATTCCGCAGTTATTATTTTGTGCCTAATGATTGCAAAAGAAAAGAAAAGAAAAAAAAAACTCATAAAAATTACATATATACTTTTAAACAAAGGTTTTTTTCTRCGTAGTAGCGGTTCAGTGATATCTCCCTTCTGACGTGAGCAGCTTTTTGTTCTCAACACACCTTGTAGTAAAAAACACCACCTTAAAAATGACGCACAGGGGGAACACACAGCCAAAAATGTCAGTGCAGTCACGAGCTGGCCATGGAACTCTGCTGCACACACACTCCAGTCATTGGAGACTCCTCCCGGTCCATGCCCTGCCTCATGCTCAGGTGGCCCTCTGCTAGGTAATGGGCCGGCCCCGTGTTCGTGCCCATGGAGAACGCAGGGTGCGCCGCCATGCCAGTCTCCTGCCGCGGGTTCGAGAAGGCACCTAGCCCCATGCTCAGCCCACCATTCTGACCAAAGTCAAGGGCTCCGGCGGGCAGGTGGCGGAGCTGGTAGGCCTGGTTGCCGTGGTTCCCAGTGGAAGAGGACGATGTCGAGGAAGAGGAGGCGGAGGAAGACAGGGAGGTCATGGACAGGTGGCCGTGGACCACCTCCATGGAGTCCTGCGTTGAAGAGCTGTGTGTCGGGGAGGTGTAGTGGCGCGGACGTGGACGCGTGGCCATCATCGGCCCGTGGTGGTGATGAGCGTGGGAGTGGGGGTGCAGGGCCTTGGGGTGCTGGGGGGGGACATGGAAGGTGGTCTCCTGAACTGGGTGGGTCTCTCCAGTGACTGACTCGGGACCGACGCCACCTCCCCACACCAGCGGGGGTGGGTACGGCTGCCTGGCCTGTAAATGCAAACGACACGGGTCAGCAGTGAAACTCGTTCAAGTTACAGTTATTGTGGTTTTAATTTAATTTGTCAGGTAATATAAAACACCGAAACAAGGCTTTATTGACATATTTAATACAATACATTAAAATAAAAGAAATTCAACAAAAATAAGAATTTTGTCAACATTACACGACAAATTCAGGACAGTTCATGTCTTCACTTTCAGGCCAATATGTGACCCACCACATCAAAATGAGGATTAAGTCAAATTTGATCAAAAGGACCTAATCATATTTTCAGATTCCTGGCTTTAAAAGCTACATTTTGATACTTYGATCATCCTGATATCATTAGTAGATCCAGAGGTATTATTTAATTTGTCTTGTTGGTTACAACAATACATAAATATTTGGTCTAAATCCAAATTTTATGTAATTTTAATGGGGATTTTTTTTGTCATTTTAAAAAAGACACCTCAAACAGTATTTGAATATTAACATTTCCCAGCTGGAAAGAAACAAAAGCTTTGATAGGTCACAGAGAAAACATTAACATTTTTAACCGGTTTTCCCTCAAAATCTGGTTTTTGGTTGCTAATGCTCAAAAAAGTGCTTCAAAAATTATTTTAGGATTATATTTCAGACAGTTCATTGAAATGATACACTGATAACACATTTATTTCTTATAGTTTCACAAATTGTTATTTTTTGCAAGCATTTTAATCAAAACCCTCTCTGCCTATTTCTCNGCTCAAAAAAGTGCTTCAAAAATTATTTTAGGATTATATTTCAGACAGTTCATTGAAATGATACACTGATAACACATTTATTTCTTATATTTTGACAAAATATAATTTTTGCAAGCGTTTTAATCAAAACCCTATATCTGCCTATTTCTCCACAGACAACTTTTAGACTTAATCCTCGTTTCGATGTGATGGGTCACATATGAGAAGATTATAAATATCTGTATGAACTGTGCCAAAAAGACTTGAGTCGTGTTTAAAACAATGAAAGCAGCTCTTTTTTATATAAATAAAAAAGGCAGATGGACTTTGGGACAAATAAATGTAATTGTTCTACTGGATTAACCACGTTTGGTTTCAGGTTTGAGTGCAGATCTTTCCAGGTAACAGGTTGCTGACCTGTGGACAGAGGCTGTCACCATCAATAGCTGGCATTGTCGTGCCAAAGTGTCCTCCACTGTGCAAGTGGTGATGGGTGGGGTCTGACCTGGCTCTGCCGCTGGTACTAGTCCCAGACGATCCTCCTAAGTGTTAAACACAAGTGTCAAACCCTTACCCACATCAAACGCTACAACAGCTTAGCTCCAGCCGACGTTCAACTCCAGGTGTTACCTGAACTAGAGGAGGTGCTGGAGGTGGTTCCTGAAGACTGGGATTGCTCTAATGCGGGGCTTGTAGACACGCTACTGCTCGTATTGGTCCCCTCGTCCGCAGTCTTCTTGAAGAAGCTGTGCTGCAGGGCATAGTAGGGCTGGATGCGACTCTTGGGGTCGTAGTCCAACATCCGCAGGATCAGGTCCTTGAACTTCAAGTAGTCAGCGACAGCGTGACCAGACTCCCCCGCCCGCCGGCCACCTGGACCCCCTGTCTCCACACCCAGGATTGAATGGAGCTTCCGTGAAGCTGGAGGCTTATACTGTTAAGAGTATAGACAGAAGATTAACCAACACGCCACTTATTGCAATTAATTAAGATGCTATTTTGCAGTATTTAGCAGGCCGCCAAAACAAAACAACCCAACACACCCTTTTGCCATCTTTGGTCTTCTTAACACTCCATGTACCATCCGAAAGCTTCTCGAAGAACTTCCTGGCTTTAGGGGCTAGGTCCATTATGTGATTAGGTGGGATACCAAGAACCTCAACTATTTTGTTCATCTGATCCACCTGGAGAAATGATAATRAATCACATAATTTAGTCTTTTTAGAAGCGATATTACTCAAACAAAACTGCACACTGTAAATCTGTAAACTGTTATACTAAAAGCTGATAATCACAGAACGTTATCTTCTGTAGAAACAACCTTAAAACACTCGTTCATAATGTTTACGTGTTATACAGTCCACTCTTCTATCTTTGAAAACTTTGCAGATATGAGACGGAAGCATTTATCATTCATGATAAAAACCAGCCAGGTAATATTTCAGATTTTTATACCTCATTGGCTCCACTAAAGAGAGGTTCTCCAGTGTGCATCTCCACCAAGATGCAACCCAGGGACCACATATCGATGGCCAAGTCATAGGGCATTCCCAGCAGCACCTCTGGGGAACGGTAGAAGCGACTCTGGATGTACTGGTATATCTAGACACGGGGCACACAAGTGGGGGACAAAACAACAAACAAAATATAAGACTTGTCATCCATGAACTTCCACCTGCTGCCTTTTTTCTTTTTTTTGTTTTGTATGCATTAATTTTACTGCTGATAAGAAAACACTGCAGCTAAATACCCTTTGTCCCAGTTGGCACGAGCTGCCAAAGTCCACTATTTTGATGGCGCTCCTCTTGGGGTTGCAGAGGAGGATGTTCTCGGGCTTCAGGTCACAGTGGATGATGCTGAGCTCAGGCGTGGCCAGGAAGAGTAGCGCCGTGCATAGCTGCTGGGCAAACTTCCGCGTGAGATTGAGCGAGACGCCGCGGAAGTTGGTGTTTCGGAGCAGGTCGTACAAGTTATATGACAGCATCTCAAACACGAGGCAGAGGTGGTTCCGAAACATGAAGTGTCGCTTTAGGTGAACTGCGGGGAAAGGCAAAACCGTGTTAGTCGGACACAGGAAGAGGCTTTTCACTTCGACGTGTCAGATTAGAAGCGAATTACCGATGTAGTATTTCATCTCAGTATCATGTTTGTTCATCAGCTCCAGGAGGCGCACTTCTATCTGGGCTTGATTGAGGAAAGCTTTCTTGTTCTTAATGATCTTAATGGCGACCCATTCCTGCTCCACTCTGTCATACGCTTTCACAACCTGAAGAGACAATTTAAAAGATTTCCCACGGTAAGGTTGCACATACAGACAGTGAACGTTAACATCYTTAATCACAGATGAAGGGACTTAAGTAGGCACCTGTCCAAACGACCCTTTTCCTATCAAGGAATCAATTTCATAGCGGTCCATCCACTTCTCCCCATTCTTGACGATGTAGTCATAGTTATCATCGTCATAGCCATCATTAAAGACTTTCCTCTCCTTTTTGTGACTGGAGTCTTCACCCTGACCCTGTTGGTGCCGTCGCTTCTTTTTTGCATAATACACCTGGAAGTTAACAAATTGCACCACGTTACACAAAGAATTTTTTTAATAAAGCACAAATAAACTACAGACTAATATGCATGTTGAGAAAGATTTTTAGGGTTTAAATTTATTGTGATTTATTGTAACGTGAATACAATGAAAACATGTTCGTCTAAATTTGTAAGATACTTAGTTTATCACTCAAAACCATTTTAAAAGCAACCACGTCTGACTTTGGTTAAATTTCAAAGTAATGTATTGATGTTTCAGAAGCACTGAAAGAAAAAAATAAAATAAAATTAACCTCATTGATGTGTTTGTAGGTTTTGATAAGGTCAATGGAGAGCTTCCTCAGGGGAGCTGAAGTTGGGTCACGAAAGCACTGGGGCATGTGCCTCTGGAGTGTCAAAGATAAAATATTACAATTTATGAGAAAAAAACACACAGGAAACACATAATTAACAGCTTAATATTATATCATATTACATTTAACACAAGTAACTGTGCACAACATGGCATGATTAAATTGAAAGAGACAGCTGACAAGCAGCTACTCTGCCTAGTGACAGCAGAAAAAAAAAGGGGGAAGTAGTCTTTCATATCACTAAGTACTGTGATTCTTGTAATTCTTGTAAAACAGAGAGGTGCAGCGAGGTTGGGTTAGTATACCTGATTGGCAGTGAGCTGTGGTGTCTGGTCGCTGTACGGTAAGACCGTAACAGATTGGTCAGTGCTTGGCTGGTGGCGGTCACTGTACTGCTGGTGCGTATGGGGCATTGGAGCAGCCATCTGAAGACCAGCAGTGTGTAAAGAAAAAGAGGGCGCAAGCCGGACGGACGAAGGTTTGCATGCTGAAGTCTCTCCTCCTAGGAGAAATTAACCTTGTTAGGGTTTCTACTTTAACCTAAACACACATTATATTCACATGTAAGAGCAAACATTATGAAGAAAATACAAAAAAATAAAATAAAATAGGTTTTGAATCATTTATCTTATGCAGATAAGCATGAAAAACAGGTTTTGTATAAAGGTTAACATAATATATTATTAGGAAAATACATCTTTGTAAAATTAAACAAACCACAGTCGTAAAAATATTCACAGAAAATATAAATGTCATGTTAATACAGGGCATTTTAATACATATGTAAACTGAAACAAGAAAGGATGAGTGAAATAAAACATAATACAACAGTAATGCATCAACCTTTGTGAAGAAAAGGGAGAAAAACAGCAGGTTTAGCTGTGAAACGGGGTGAGAACACAGCATCTCCGCGCTGTACAGTGAATCATCCTTCATTTTAAGCCAGAAGGAATCAAAAAATTATTAAATAGCATGTTCAGCTATCAGCATCTCTCACCAGACAACACAATTCACCAGCGCCACACAGTAACCACTATTCAGAATCCCAGCAACAGCACCTAATTAGCATAGCCTATCACCACAGAGATACAGCGTGATTTGGCAAGCCCATCAATGCACAGACCAATCACAACGCGGTATGCAAATAGCCTACTTTTGTTGCCAGGGCAGAGCTGCTCCCATTTTCCAATGAGAAAACAAGAAATAAACAAGAAATAAAATTGAACTTTGGCACACTTAGACGTTGCTTTCAACACGGAGAGCCTGACAGCAAAATAGCTGCACAGCCCCAAAAACCTGCACTCCATCTGAGAGCGTCAGAAAGCTGACCCAGCTCTGGAAACAGCAGAGAATACACGGACAGAAATAAGAGGAACTGTAAGATGAGAGAGCTCCCACCAGCGAGCTATGTGAGAGCTGGGAGATACCGTTTTCACCAGCCTCTGTTCATATGCTTATATAAACACATGTTATAGCTTTATTTGTATTGTACGTGAACTAAAAGGTGCGTTTTCCCCTGAATATTTTCCTTTTATCATGGCAGGTGGCTTGTTTTATTGTTTGTGCTGCATCAAAAGTTTAAAAATAAAATATAGTGTCCAAATGACTTTGCTTTGTTTGACTACTTAGGCTCAAAAGCTATGCCAAATTCAAAACAGCAACACAAAGAAAGAAAGAAAAAAATTAAAGTGAAATAGTTTCCCCCCACCAAACGGGTTAAAGCTTCATTTTACAGCAGCTAACATCTTCATTTTAAGTTAAATTAAGCAAAAACAGACTAGAAAACACTKTAATAGCTTTAATTTTGTTCAGGTTAAACTTAAGTTGACACCCCAAAACTTGTAAAAGTAACCTATATGTAAAAGTAMGGATTCAAAATATAATYCAAAAGTAAAAAACAGGCCTTCTGCTTGTGATTTAAACATTTAAAATAATTTAGAAAGTGTTGGACATTTAAATTTGAATGATTATTGTTGTAGGCCTTGCWCTCCATCTTAGCCTATCTATAGCCAATATGTTAATAAAGAGAAGCTTTAAAGGCCWTTAAATACTTTTTATAAAAAGGCAAATACTTGCTTAAATTCATGTCTTTGCTGTACATGACTATACAGATTTAGAGCTGTAAAAATGGTTTAATATCTATGTATTACATGTAGATAAACGTTCCAGGATTTAATATATATTTTAAATAACCTACAGTGAAACAAATAGAAGTATAATAAAAAAAAGAGCCATTTTAGAAGCACACTTGTAGCTCTGCTTATTCTTAATGTTCAGTACCGACATATGAACAGTTCCTTTCCTGGCTCCAGTCATTATGGCATCACTGGGCCTATTTATGTGTAAATATATCGACAGTTAGCTTGATAATAATAATAAAAAAAAAAGCCGAATCATATCCTGAGCTGATCGTTTAAGATCTCCGTCAGGAGCCAGTGTGTCATCCTCTCACGCCCAACCGATCAGATCCAAGTCCAGGAGAGATGGATCAAACAGAAACCCGTCCAAACCGCACATATGTCCGCCGAAGCGCCGTACTTACAGATGAAGGGGTAGATCTCGTCATGGTTGGAATTTAGGGAGCATATTCAGCGTTCATTTCCCTCCCCTGTCCCTCCTCTCTCTCGCTACATTTATTGTCCGTGGAGGGACTCCAAATCCTCAAATAGATGACATCCAGCCTCGCGCTATCAGAGGACTAAAACTAGCACGAGCGGTTTTTTGTGTGTGTGTGTGTGTGTGTGTGTGTGTGTGTGTGTGTGTCGGTGTGTGTGTGTGTGTGTGTGTGTGTGTGTGTGTGTGTGTGTGTGTGTCGTCGTTGCCCTGAAAACTGCGGGACGAGACGAGCAGATCAGCTCACCAGCACCGACGTGCAGCCAGCGGGGCTAAAGTGGGGCCCCATTCAAAGCTGGTTCGTCAACAAGTTAGCCATTAGCCAGGTTAGCTTATGAGKTGCAAAGAAAAAAAGGGAGGAAAAAAAATCCACATCCACCCCTGATTTGAGCACGGTTAGACCGCTGCACTGAGCAGATCAAATCGGGGGAGGTAAAGCTAACGCGGCTTCAATCATACAATGACAGTCTGATATAGCAGGGGGGCTAGCAAACGCTGTTAACACCGTGTCAGCGTGACTCTACGTCCAGTTATAAAGCTCAGCTGGGATGTCCAACATTAAAATCCCTTCCACTGACCTACTGACTGAAAGCAAACCCTGGCTAAAACATAACGTTAGCCGCCACACCAAAAAGAAAAAAAAAAGCTACCATTTTTAACTTCACTACCGCGTCCATCATTGTTAACTATTCACGCTGCACAGGACACACATCTGTGAAAAGAAAGCCCAAACAAACGGACGCTACGTYCAATAAATCCGCTTTACTTACCTCTGATGGCACGGTCTTCATTTAAAGTCCAATAACCTGTATGATGAGGAAACTTATCCAGCTTGATTCTCCACCTCCCTGCACGGTTAGCGAGTAAATCCAATCCCCCGTCCTCTGGCCGGCTAAAATAACCCACCAGTCGAAACCAGTGTGCGCTTCATGGCCCGAACTTTTGACGAACAGCGTCCGCGGTCGAAGCAGTTTTATCAAATATGCCTATCAGCTGATGACAAGCAACATGCTAACTAGCACGCGTAACTTACTGGCTAACCTTAGCTGGTTGACAAAATGAGCGCAGCTAACGTCAGCTAGTTCCGCTGACTAGCCCGAAGCTAACAATTTTAGCCGCCGCTAAATAAACGCTGTGCCAAATTCCGATTCAACGCTCCGTCTTTGCGGTTTGGTACGTCGGTCACCTCGACGAGCGCGACAACGCGGTTATACCTGGAGCATTTTACCGGCCGTGCAGAAGCCGTGTCCTCTGATAAAAAAAAATTTTGGTTAGAAATTTTGTGTCAATTTTCACAAAATGGCGCGCGGTCCAAACCTGCGCAGTGAACCGGCCCGGTGGACCAGAGACACGGACAACTGAGTTAGTGCGGCGCCGCCTAATTGTTTCAACCGGGTTAAAAAGCGGGGCTCGCGGTCTTCTTGATAATCCGATCCACTAGACGCGTCTCGAAATCCATGAACGTCAAAAATATATCCACTGACAGCATTATTCCGGCGGGAAGGGAGAACATTTGAAAAGACTGAGCTGGGGGTGGGGGGGGAACCCTCCTGACAAAATGGCGATGCTCTAGCTTGTTGCCATGGCAACTGTCAATCAAAAAAAAAATTGGAGTACCCGGATGTGCCAATGACGAATAAATTCTGAACTGGCCAGGGTTACAGCGCACACATAACTCATGTGGTGTCCCTGTGTGTGTTTTTATAACCACGTTTGGCCTGTTGCTGTCAGTCCACTGCGATTTAAATATCTGAAGGGTATTTCTACAGTTTTTACRGAAAAAGGTACATGATAATAAATAATGTATTGATTTTTCTGCTYTTCTAGCCAATTGCTCACTTAATTTCTTGTTTAGGATTTTTTTTTTTTTTGGAGCATTAAAGCGTAAATTACTTACCCCCAAAGATCACACTTCTAAAATAAAGATGAAACATATCAAATAGAGCAAATAAAAAAACAACAACACCCATCAAAATGTTAAATAAAAGCAGGAGACAGGAATAGAAGGAGGGGACTAACAACAGATTTTTTTTCATTATTATATTCTCTTTATTTAAACAATAAAAAATGTTATACTTAAAGGCCTTGCATTCAATAAAGAAACTGACTTCCTGAGAAAATACAAAGTTACAGGTTTTTTTCAAACCCATAAATCTGATGCATTGTTACAATTCATGTGATAATTGCTTTTACACCAAATTGTTGCTCAATATTTATATTGAACTGTACTGTATTGTGGCGGCCATCTTTTTTTAGAGCTTTGGATGTTATCAACAGGTCAGCTACATTAATATGTGTGTGTGTGTATA